GACTATAGACTAGACTATAGACTAGACTATAGACTAGACTATAGACTAGACTATAGACTAGACTATAGACTAGACTATAGACTAGACTATAGACTAGACTATAGACTAGACTATAGACTAGACTATAGACTAGTCTATAGACTAGACTATAGACTAGTCTATAGACTAGACTATAGACTAGACTATAGACTAGACTATAGACTAGACTATAGACTAGACTATAGACTAGACTATAGACTAGACTATAGACTAGACTATAGACTAGACTATAGACTAGACTATAGACTAGACTATAGACTAGACTATAGACTAGACTATAGACTAGACTATAGACTAGACTATAGACTAGACTATAGACTAGACTATAGACTAGACTATAGACTAGACTATAGACTAGACTATAGACTAGACTATAGACTAGACTATAGACTAGACTATAGACTAGACTATAGACTAGACTATAGACTAGACTATAGACTAGACTATAGACTAGACTATACTAGACTATAGACTAGACTATAGACTAGACTATAGACTAGACTATAGACTAGACTATAGACTAGACTATAGACTAGACTATAGACTAGACTATAGACTAGACTATAGACTAGACTATAGACTAGACTATAGACTAGACTATAGACTAGACTATAGACTAGACTATAGACTAGACTATAGACTAGACTATAGACTAGACTATAGACTAGACTATAGACTAGACTATAGACTAGACTATAGACTAGACTATAGACTAGACTATAGACTAGACTATAGACTAGACTATAGACTAGACTATAGACTAGACTATAGACTAGACTATAGACTAGACTATAGACTAGACTATAGACTAGACTATAGACTAGACTATAGACTAGACTATAGACTAGACTATAGACTACTATAGACTAGACTATAGACTAGACTAGACTAGACTAGACTATAGACTAGACTATAGACTAGACTATAGACTAGACTATAGACTAGACTATAGACTAGACTATAGACTAGACTATAGACTAGACTATAGACTAGACTATAGACTAGACTATAGACTAGACTATAGACTAGACTATAGACTAGACTATAGACTAGACTATAGACTAGACTATAGACTAGACTATAGACTAGACTATAGACTAGACTATACTAGACTATAGACTAGACTATAGAAGACTATGACTATAGACTAGACTATAGACTAGACTATAGACTAGACTATATACTAGACTATAGACTAGACTATAGACTAGACTATAGACTAGACTATAGACTAGACTATAGACTAGACATAGACTATAGACTAGACTATAGACTAGACTATAGACTAGACTATAGACTAGACTATAGACTAGACTATAGACTAGACTATAGACTAGACTATAGACTAGACTATAGACTAGACTATAGACTAGACTATAGACTAGACTATAGACTAGACTATAGACTAGACTATAGACTAGACTATAGACTAGAATATAGACTAGACTATAGACTAGACTATAGACTAGACTATAGACTAGACTATAGACTAGACAATAGACTAGACTATAGACTAGACTATAGACTACACTATAGACTAGACTATAGACCAGACTATAGACTATACTATAGACTAGACTATAGACTAGACTATAGACTAGACTATAGACTAGACTATAGACTAGACTATAGACTAGACTATAGACTAGACTATAGACTAGACTATAGACTAGACTATAGACTAGACTATAGACTAGACTATAGACTTGACTATAGACTAGACTATAGACTAGACTATAGACTAGACTATAGACTAGACTATAGACTTGACTATAGACTAGACTATAGACTAGACTAGACTAGACTATAGACTAGACTATAGACTAGAGTATAAACTAGACTATAGTCCAGACTATTCACTAGACTATAGACTAGACTATAGACCAGACTATAGCCCAGACTATTGACTAGACTATGGTCTTTTTTCAATAAAAAAAACAAAATCATGAAATACTCTTAATTATTTGCAAAAATACTTTTAATATATCCTAAATAAAGAGTAATAATTTTTTTTAGTATTGAAATTCCATTTAACCTATAAAACTCATCAATAGTTTTTTATTAGTTCAATATACATACGTCATATGTAAATATTTAATTTACCATCTAAATTTACTTTGAAAACCAATATTACCTTGCTGCTATTGACTTTAAAATACCACCATGTCTGGCATATTAAATGAAACCCCATTATGCTTTTTACAAAAATCCCACAAATTTAAATATGAAACAAATGTATAAAAGACTTTAACTTTGCTACAACCAATAACAATTACTAATTGTACAACCAAACCTTAAACACAAACTCAACCAAAAATGTTCAAATTCGTAAGTGTTAATATTTTTCTGCAAAGATTAAAAAAATCTAGAGTATAACATTTTAACTCTCCTTTTTAGATCGCTGTCTGCTTCTTCGCTTTGTTGGCTGTTGCTGCCGCTAAACCCGGTTTGGTAGCTCCTTTGGCTTACTCTGCTCCCTTGACTTATGCCGCTGCTCCCGCTGTTGTTGGTCATGCTTCTTATGTAGCTCCTTATGCCTCCACCTACAATGCTCATCACATTGCTCACTCTGCTGCCTTCCCTGCCGCTTATGCTGCTGCTCCAGTTGTTGCTGCTCATTACGCCGCTGCCCCCGTTGTAAGTGCTGCTTATGCTGCTCCCCTTGCCACACCCTTCGCTGCCCCCGTTTTGTTGAAGAAGTAAATCAGAGAATTGAATTTTGAATAAATGAAACCAAAAATGTGATAAACTAAGAAATTTTACCTCTTTTATTCAGAAAATACTAGATTAACTATTGTTTTTTGTAAAATACACTCAAAAAAAGAGTCAAGTAAACTTGAGATAAAACAAATTGGTTTCTATAGTAGGTTAATTAAGTACAGTTTTACTTGCATCAAGTATACAAAATACTTGAATTAAGTACGAAAGACTTGATTTTAGTGCGATTACAGTATGCACTTGTTTTAAGTTGGTTGCATAGCCTATAGATTTGATGGTTTCTTAATACTTTTTAATAGAACCAATATCGAAGCAGTTTGATATAAAATTCATAGAAATTTTTTCAAAAGTTTGATATTATTATGGTCGGGCAAAACGACTAATATGCAATAAGATTAGCTTGTGATTAGCATGAGTAGGATTTCTAAAAAGGGAAAAAATTTCCCGGAAATTCTCAGGAATAATTTTTTTGTATAGAAGTTTGCTTATTACGAAAAGTGACAATATTATTTAGACTCATTCAAAACTAAGTTGTGCCGATATTTCAAGAAGTACTAGAATATTTAACATAATTATGAGCTTCAAAGCCCCATTAGGGTGTTACAGTTGTATGGAATGTGAAATAACGGACCGTTTTTAATAGGCTCTGTCCTTGGATCAAGAGAAGATTATATACCAGACAGACAAAAAGACGGACATAACATCATCGCCTTGAAAAGTGATTCTGAGCCGATTGATATGCTTTAAGGTGGGTGTATGGCAATTATGTTTGGGTTTTACAAACATCAGCTCAAACATATAGTAAACTTCTCACTATAGTGGTGTAGAGTATAATGAAAGGTTGATACTGCTTATCTAGGATAAAAAATGCATATTATACTTGAATAAAAAAAATAGCATAAAAATTTGACCTGTTAAAGTCATTTAGAAGAAATAAATAAAAATTATAATAAAGAAAATTTACTTTAGAAAAGATCCCAGCAAAAACTGGGTAATGGCTTGCAATTGTAATTACTTACCTAACAACATACTTTTCAATGACTACTACATATCGTCTGGATTACATAGAAGTAGTCTAATAAGTTCTTACTAATAATATGTTATATAAACACTTTATGAAAGCTGTATACGTTTTTTCATTCGATTTACAATGACTACTTTTTCTATTTACATAGTTATGATTTTAGTGGGATTCTACGAACAGTTTGTGTCAAGATAATAGCTCCTGATACTCTATTTCAACACTTCTTTGTATAAATTTTTTTCTTTGGAAATTTTTTTTCTAAGGAAATTTCCGAATTTCGAATATTGAGTTAATAAATAACCGTTTGAGGTAATATTTAAGATTAATATCATTATTGATAAGTTTCCTTGAATCTAAACGACACAAACCAATTCCCTCACATTAAAATAAAAAACACACAAATATTTCAGTCTTTCGTAGTTAAGTCATTTATTGTTTTCAAATTCAATTCTCTGAATCTACTTCTTCAACAAAACGGGGGCAGCGAAGGGAGTGGCAAGAGGAGCAGCATAAGCAGCACGTACAACGGGAGCAGCGGCATAATGAGCAGCTACAACGGGAGCGGCAGCATAAGCGGCAGGAAAGGCAGCAGAGTGAGCAATATGATGGGCATTGTAGGTGGAGGCATAAGGAGCTACGTAAGAAGCATGACCAACAACAGCTGGGGCGGCAGCATAAGTCAAAGGAGCTGAATAAGCCAAAGGAGCTACCAAACCGGGTTTAGCGGCAGCAACAGCCAACAAAGCGAAGAAGCAGACAGCGATCTAAAATAATAAGAGTTTTTAGATTAAAATCAATTGATCCTTTAAGGAGTTGATCTCTTTAAAACTTACGAATTTGAACATTTTGTTAAAGTTTGAGATGTTTTATTTTGGTTGTACAATTAGTAATTGTTAATATTTGTTTTAAAGTTAAAGGTTTTTATACTTTTTTACAGTTACTTGTGATTGTAACTAAAAACAAATTTTGCTAATAAAATTTAACCTTGATCATGAATTAATAACCTTAAACAAAATCATAAATTTTTCAAAAATTATATCATTACATTGATAACAGGTGTTTGGATAAGTATAACATAATATATGTAAAAGCTACCGTTAAAAAACACACATTAACATTTAACTCAGGTTTAAAAAAAAAACCTCTACTTTAAACATCACGTTTAGCATAAATTGTTTAAATTAGTTTATTTAATACTAGTAAGTAATCAATAGAAAATGTTAACTATAAAAGCCTTAAACTTAAACACAAACATTTAACAATTACTAATTGTACAACCTAAACAAAACAACTTAAACTTTAACAAAATGTTCAAATTCGTAAGTTTTTAACATTTTTGAAACCTTAAAGGCTCAAGTTTTAATATAAAACTCTTATATTTCTAGATCGCTGTCTGCTTCTTCGCTTTGTTGGCTGTTGCTGCCGCTAAACCCGGTTTGGTAGCTCCTTTGGCTTACTCTGCTCCTTTGACTTATGCTGCCGCCCCAGCTGTTGTTGGTCATGCTTCTTATGTAGCTCCTTATGCCTCCACCTACAATGCCCATCACATTGCTCACTCTGCTGCTTTCCCTGCTGCTTATGCTGCTGCTCCCGTAGTAGCTGCTGCCCCTGCTCATTACGCTGCTGCTTATGCTACTCCTCTTGCCACTCCCTTCGCCGCCCCCGTTTTGTTGAAGAAGTAGATTCAGAGAATTGTATTTGAATAAATGAAATCAAAAATGTGATAAACTAAAAAATTTAAATTTTCTTTTATTTACTTAACTAGCATACCCTGGGTGCTTCGCTACCCTAACATAAATTAAATTCATACAAAATTTTGTTTACTTTTATAGAAAATTAAAATTAATTAAAAATTTTTTTAATGTTTCAGTTTTTTACGTTCAATATCACGTGAATAAATTCGCATTCAATAAGAAGCTATAAAGTACTATAAAACACCTCATTTAATAAAAAAAAATATGTTTCAGTGTTCAATATTATATATAATTCAAAAAATATAATTTGATGAATGAAAAAGTACCAAAAGTCCCTTTCAGTAGATTCTTATTCACTAAGGTCCCAACATTTTAAATTTTATTTTCAATATCTATGTTCAATATCGTAAAAATATCAAAAAGTACCATCGGAAAAACGAAAAAGTACAAAAATCTCTCTCAATAAATTCTCATTTAATAAGGAGCGTGTGTCATGTGTTCCGGTTAACTATTTGAAGAATGGAAAAGTACCAAAGAGTTTCCACTTACAGGATATTATTCAGTCAAGACCATGTATGTTAAAATTTATGTTCCTAGGTTGAATATTTTAGAAAATTCTAAAAGTACCATTAATGAGATAAAAAGTACTAAAAACTTCTCTCTTAAAGAATCTTATTTAATGAGGACCGTGTATGTTTAATAATCAATTGTTTTGAATGAATATTATAGAACATACAAAGAGTATTATTTGAAGAAAGAAAAAGCACCAAAAGTGGAATAAATTCTACCTTAGTGGAAAGTACTAATAACAAAGTAAAATTTTTCCTCTTTTCGCTTAGAAGTATATTTTTTCTAGAATTAAGTTTACAAAATGTTCCGTATTTAAATCTATATATCACAGATAAAACTCAAACGAATCAAATCTGCATTAATTTGTTCCAGAAAAATTGTGCTTTCAAAAAGTACCAAACAATTTACTCCAATTTGATCCTATAGAGGTCTTAGTACTCGAATTCCAAAATAATATACCAATAGCTTATTTTGTGTGAGTAAATTAACTACTTTTTCAAATTTTATAAAAACTGTGAAAACTGTAAAAACAATGAGTTTGAATAAAATTAAATTTCCCGTTTTTTTTCCCTTTTTGGTACTTTTTTTCCCCTGTGAAATAGCAAAAATTTTATTACATTAAATATTACAGAGTTAGTCCATAATTTAATAGGAATAATTCAATAAACCGAAAAAGTTTTCTTAATGTGCTAAAAAAAAGTACCATAAATACATTTTTCTGCCTTTTCGACCCAAAAAGGACTGAATTTTAAAAAAGTACGAAACAGGTGTCTCCCAATTTTGGGAAATGTATCCAAAATATTTATAAAAATTTTATTATTTTAATTAGTTAAACAGTTTTAAAGTGCCAAAAAGGTACCAAAATCACTTTTGTTACACATTTTCACCCCTTAAAAGTACGAATTTCAAAAAAGTACCAGACACCCATATGCTTATTTGAAGAGCAGATACAGGTGCACTTACATTTTTTCTTGTATCACTAATATTAGGTAAGATAATTAAGAAAAGCTGTTTTACCCGTTTTTTTCCCTTTTGTACCCATAAATGTACAAATTTCCAAAAATAACCAAAAACACATCTACTGTTAAAATTTCATGATTCTAGGTTCAGCCGTTTGGGCTGTGCGATGATGAATCAGTCAGTCAGTAACGCTACTCTTTTATATATATAGATTAGAAAAATATTGGGTATCAATTAGGATCTTATTTACTTTTATAGTAATTAAGGCTTAATAATTTGTCATAGAATCGTTCATTATAATCTACACCATTTTAGTGGGGAGGGTAATGATATGTTAATATTATTTGAAGATTATTTGTTAATTCCTATCATAACAAAATTTTGTATGATCACAAATCCCATCTACCCCAGAAAAATTAGGCATAAAAAATTAGCAACTTGGGGAATTTCAAATAGCTTAATAAAAAATTGGCGTATAGTTTCGCCTTAGTATAATTAGTAAGGAAAATAAAAGTCACCGAAAATATCTTGTGCGCTTTGCGAGATATTGTAGGTCAAAGGTTGCAAAAATTAGTTTTTGTCGAATAACTTGCTTAATATGCGTCGTACGCATTTTAATGTTATTATATTTTCTATAGAGAATTGAATTTCCTACATTTTGGTTGAAGAATATTTTTGAGTAACATTAGTTAATTTCTCGCTATAGTGCATTATTTTTCCTTGCACTAATATTTTAAAATCTTAATAAAGATTGTACTAATAACAAATTTGTCATAATTTTGACTTTATTCATAAGAAGATAATATATGCTTAAACACTGTTTTATATCAAATTCGCTCTATGACCCATAGTCCTACCAAAACTGAGTGAAAATATTAAAGTCCATTTTCTGGCTATACTAGAGCTGCTAGGGCCAAAATACTTAAAATCTGTGATCACTTTTATTTCCTACCAAAACTCGATTTTGAGTGAAAACATAAAAGTCCATTTTCTGGATAAACTAGAGCCGCTAGGGCCGAAATAATGAAAATCTGTGATCACTTTTGAGTAAAAACATAAAAGTCCATTTTCTGGCTAAACTAGAGGTGCTAGGGCCTAAACAATGAAAATCTGTGATCACTTTTGTTTCCTACCAGAATTCGATTTTGAGTGAAAACATAAAAGTGCATTTTCTGGCTAAACTAGAGCCGCTAGCGCCTAAACAATGAAAATCTGTGATCATTTTTGAGTGAAAAGATAAAAGTTCATTTTCTGGCTAAACTAGAGGTGCTAGGGCCTAACAATGAAAATCTGTGATCACTTTTATTTCCTACCAAAACTCGATTTTGAGTGAAAACATAAAAGTACATTTTCTGGTTAAACTAGAGCCGCTAGGGCCAAAATACTTAAAATCTGTGATCACTTTTATTTCTCTATGACCCATAGTGCAATGTCTGTCTATCCATAATTTCAGTTTTTTAATATTTTAACAATTTATTGACAAAAAAGAGCAAAGACATATATGTCCCAATCCTTATAAATTTTGCTAGAGGAATTTGCGTCTACATTAAAGTTATTTATGCAAAATTTCATAGTGATATTAATTTTTATAACTGAACCTTGACCTTCAAATCATGTCCTAAAGGGGACTTTATATGAGGGCTAGGGTCAAATTAGGCCCGATTATTACGAAAATTGGCAGTAAAATTTATACTTACATAAGCCTTGCCAATTTTAGTAGAGATACAAGAACATTTAACATAATTTTGTGCTCAAAAGCCATATTCGGGGGGTACGGTTGTATGGGGGCTAGTCGAAATAATGGGCCGATTTAAACTATTTTCAATAGGCTTCGTCCTTGAGTATGTGCCAAATTTAATCAAATTATCTTGAAAATTGCGACCTGTATCGTGCACACTAGGTTTACATGGGCAAACAGGCGGACAGACAGACAAACGAATGGACTGAAAGTGATTCTGAGCCGATTGGTATACTTTAAGGTGAGTGTAGGACCAATATTTTTGGGTGCTACGAACATCAACACAAACGCATAATACATCAACACATAATACATATTACTATAGTAGTGTAGGGTATAACAAGAATATTATGTTTCATTTGTATAAGTTTATACACAAGAAAGCCTAAAAAACTACAACATGAGACAAAACAAAACAAATATAATACCCTACACCTTTGACAAAAATATAATGTCATTTATTTGCCATAATAAAGCATTTAAATTGAATTGTACCTTGCCTCAGATATACATACTTAAGCCGTTTATTGTTGAATAAAATTGTGGACATTTAAGTGAAATTTTGATGGAGGCTTTTCATAGGGGCTAGGGTCATATGAGGACCTATTATTATGGAATTCGTGAGGGTCATCAAATCTTGTATAGAACTTGGTTTTTGCAGCTTTTTGTCGAGATATGAGTATATTAAACATAATTATGAACTTAAAAGCCCTATTCGGCGGGTTCAGTTGTATGGGGGCTAGGTGAAATAATGGACCGATGTAAACCATTTTCAACAGGCTTCGTTTACGGTACCATAAAAGATCATGTGCCAAATTTCATTGAATTATCCCAAAATTGCGACTTGTAGTTTGATTACAAAGTTTAAAAGCCCTATTCGGGTGGTTCTGTCGTATGGAGGCTAGGTGAAATAATGGACCGATGTTAACCATTTTCAATAGGCTTCGTTCCTGGGACAATAGAAGATCATGCACCAAATTTCATTGAATTATCTTCAAAATTGCGACCTGTAGTTTGATTACAAAGTTTACATGGACGGACGGACAGACGAACAGACGGACGGACATAGCTAAATCGACTCAGAAAATGATTCTGAGCCGATTGGTATACTTTAAGGTGGGTATAGGAACAATATTATTGTGGGTTACAAACATCAGCACAAACACAATATACCCTCCCCACTAAAGTGGTGTAGGGTAATGTAAAGTGTAATGAAAGCTGTGTGGTACTTTTTGAATTTTTCAAAAGGTACTTTTTGGTACTTTTTCCTTCTTCAAAAGGAACTTTTGGAATTTTCCATAATATTGAATATAGAAACATTAAGCATGTAGAGCCTGGCGTAATTGAGAATCTATAAGATGGGATTTTTAGTACTTTTTCGTACTTTAAATGGTACTTTTTGAGTTTTCTGTAATATTGAACCTAAAACATTTAATTAAGTATGTAGATCATATAGTAAATGATAACATATAAGAGGGGACTTTTTGAAACTTTTTCATTGTTTAAAATTTTCTTTTTGAATTTTCTATAATATTGAACATGGAAACTTAAAACTAAACATACAGAGTCGTGTCTATATAAGAATCTGTAGGAAATATTAAATTATTAGTTATTTACAATTAAATAACTTTTTTTTGAAGTGGAGCTATGAATAATTATGGGCCAATCTAGAAAAAATTAGTTTGGGTCACACAAAACATATTCCTATAGATTTCCTATAGATTTATTTCTTCAGAATTGCTGTAGATACATCCATCCTCCTATCAAGCTAACC